AAAATAACATTTGTGAATTTCTTTCCCAAAATGTATTTAAAAATTATGGAGCCCCTCTGATGACATGGTCAAAAAAATTTTTTAATTGTGGCCACGAAGTAGTATTTCGTGCCGCGAAGTAGTATTTCGCGGCCACGCAATAAGTATAACGTGCACACGAAATACTTATTAATAATATCAATAAATCCGCCCCTGTTTTTTGGCTTATGTTAACTGTAATGACTTATCTTGGACAGGCTGCTATGTAAACGGGCCTTTAGTCCTTCGTTTAGCTATGCTGCGGTTGTTTACACTACGCCTTTTCCACCTAAAATGGCGTCTTAGCAACAAATGTCACGTGACTGGCGGAGACCGACTGGGTAAGCAAATCGAGCGCGCCTTAGACCTTAGAGAAGGCGCACTCGATTTGCTTACCCAGTTGTCCAGGAATGATATTAATATTATTAATAAGTATTTCGTGCGCACGTTAAACTTATTGCGTGGCTACGAAATACTACTTCGTGGCCACAATTAAAAATTTTTTTTGACCATGTCATCAGAGGGGCTCCGTAAAAAATAAAGTTCTGCATGAAGTACATTTCTACCATTGCTGTTATCTCAGGTAAAATTATGAATCAAACTGTCTTAAATGGGTCCATGACAAGTTAAACATGCTGGCCTAAATGTTTTTTATTTTCTTACTTAGTTAAAAATTGCTGTTTGTGACATACAAAAACATACAGTTAGTTTAAAAGTTATATATTCATTGTTTTTCACCAATGGAGGTTGACATTTTTTTCATGTGCAATGCATCCTGATTGATGACACACATATCTTTCTAGATTGGAAACTGCAGAGTAAACATAGGAAGGCTAACTTTACAAAGTAATTTTTAAAATAATGTTTCATTTGATAAAAAGAGCTGCTTTTTACTTAGCCATCTTTTCACAAAAAAGCAGTGACGGGAGTAACTGCGTTGAAAGTAACAGCGTTACTAACGCCGCTACCTTTTTTTAGTAACGAGTAATCAAAATGATTACTCTTACTGTAACTATAACACAGTTACAACTGCCGACACCCCGTTACTGCGCGTTACTCAGGTCGCACAATTAACCTTTTTTCATGATAGGACTCGTGCGCGCGTCATGAGAGAGGGGAGGATGGAGAGTGAGGAGGACTCCAGCGGCAGAACAGCGCTTTCCAGATGGAAATACCGGTGTTACGTCGAGCTTCGTTTCCCCATCAGATACGGTTTCCCCTGCATCTCCGCACAGCGCGGCGGCACAATTCACCGTGCAAGCGACAGGAAACGCGCATGCTCGCTAAAGGCGCGTAACAGCCGCCCTGTGCTCGCACCACAGGGGAACTATGGAGAGTGTGAAGGATCATTAGCCTATATGGAGAAAGGGAGAAATATGGATGGAGCTTGGCCTGTTTTTCAGTGTAGTCCGGTTTCTCTGACTGTGACTAACTGGATATGCTCTCTTCTTCCTCTGACATGGACATGACATGTTTCCTGGACAGGACTGCCTTTTACATTTGCTTTTTGTATCTATGCTTCTTTTTCTATGTCTGCTTCTGTCTCCTTGAACCCCAGTCGGCCTCAGCAGATGGCCGCTCATGCTGAGCCTGGTTCTGCTGGAGGTTTCTTCATGTTAAAAGGGAGTTTTTCCTCTCCACTGTCGCTACAAGCATGCTTAGTGTGAGGGATTGCTGAAGAGTCAATGAGTCGAAGCAATTAGCTTGAATCAATTCATCATCCATCCATGGATGGATGGATATAGCTACATGTTGCAGTATCTATAACAACCCAAACACAGGATTTCAGAATTAGACATCCCCAGTTATTAATTTCATACACTCGCAAAAGTAACGCAATAGTTGCTTTTACTAGTAAGTAGTTACTTTTATTGTAGAGTAACTCAGTTAATTTTTGGGAGAAGTAACTAGTAACTATAACTAATTAGTTTTTCAAAGTAACGTGCCCAACACTGCACAACAGACCAGTGCAGTGTGCGAATTATAGCGGCATCCACACCAATCCATTTATCCACCTCTTGGCTCATTCTTCCCTCCCGCTTGTAAACAGGACCTAAAAATATTTGCTTGAGGCAGAAACGATCCTTTGACCTAAAGAGGGAACTTCCCCATTTCCTGGCGAGAACCACAGACTCAGAGCTTATCTTCATCTTGGGCACTTTGCACTAGGCATTGAGGATTTTAGCTGTAATTCTTAGGGCCCTATCACACCTTGCCGATGTAGCCAGCGCATGCCCGATGTCCCAGAATCTCGTAAAATGCTGGCATACACTGAACTTTCTATGCATTTGTTTCTTTTTCATTTTTTGGGCGTATACACTCACCGGCCACTTTATTAGGTACACCTGTCCAACTGCTTTTTAACACTTAATTTCTAAGCAGCCAATCACATGGCGGCAACTCAGTGCATTTAGGCATGTAGACATCGTCAAGACAATCTCCTGCAGTTCAAACCGAGCATCAGTATGGGGAAGAAAGGCGATTTGAGTGACTTTGAACGTGGCATGGTTGTTGGTGCCAGAAGGGCTGGTCTGAGTATGTCAGAAACTGCTGATCTACTGGGATTTTCATGCACAACCATCTCTAGGGTTTACAGAGAATGGTCCGAAAAAGAAAAAAACATCCAGTGAGCGGCAGTTCTGTGGGCGGAAATGCCTTGTTGATGCCAGAGGTCAGAGGAGAATGGCCAGACTGGTTCGAGCTGATAGAAGGGCAACAGTGACTCAAATAACCACCCGTTACAACCAAGGTGGGCAGAAGAGCATCTCTGAACGCACAGTACGTCGAACTTTGAGGCAGATGGGCTACAGCAGCAGAAGACCACACCGGGTGCCACTCCTTTCAGCTAAGAACAGGAAACTGAGGCTACAATTTGCACAAGCTCATCGAAATGGGACAATAGAAGATTGGAAAAACGTTGCCTGGCCTGATGAGTCTCGATTTCTGCTGCGACATTCGGATGGTAGGGTCAGAATTTGGCGTCTACAACATGAAAGCATGGATCCATCCTGCCTTGTATCAACGGTTCAGGCTGGTGGTGGTGGTGTCATGGTGTGGGGAATATTTTATTGGCACTCTTTGGGCCCCTTGGTACCAATTGAGCATCGTTGCAACGCCACAGCCTACCTGAGTATTGTTGCTGACCATGTCCATCCCTTTATGACCACAATGTACCCAACTTCTGATGGCTACTTTCAGCAGGATAATGCGCTATGTCATAAAGCTGGAATCATCTCAGACTGGTTTCTTGAACATGACAATGAGTTCACTGTACTCAAATGGCCTCCACAGTCACCAGATCTCAATCCAATAGAGCATCTTTGGGATGTGGTGGAACGGGAGATGTGCAGCCGACAAATCTGCGGCAACTGTGTGATGCCATCTTGTCAATATGGACCAAACTCCCTGAGGAATGCTTCCAGCACCTTGTTGAATCTATGCCACGAAGAATTGAGGCAGTTTTGAAGGCAAAAGGGGGTCCAACCCGTTACTAGCATGGGGTACCTAATAAAGTGGCCGGTGAGTGTACATTAGTGGTGGAACGGTTCACAAAATCCACGGTTCGGTTCACGGTTTCGTGGTCACGGTTTTCGGTTCAGTATATGTTGATTGTTAGCCTGTCATGTTGGTCATGTTGCTGTTAGCATAAACAAAACGCGTTGCACACTGCTTGCACACTGTTGCACTTTTATCCACAACTTTCTTTCCGCCGTCATCGTAGGTCACTCTAAATGAAAAGTGGTCCCATACAGCAGACCTATAAAGTGCTGCTGGCGCGTCTTCCAACTCCTGTTCTTTCCCACTCGCCATACCCACACAATTCTCCACAACAACTGATTTTTTTCTGCTACACCCGGCTACGCTGCTTCGCTTCTTCTTCTTCTTGTTTACTACTGGTGGTTGGCTTTGGTCACAGTACCGCCACCTTCTGCTCTGGAGTGTAATCGCTTCCCCTATGAGAAAAAGGAGCAGCGCATGAACTGAACGAAACACACGCGAACCGAACCGAGACAGTCGAACCAAACGGTTCGGACGGTTTTCATAAACCGTTCCATCCCTAGTATACATAGAGTATTCATAATGAGTCCAGAACTTATGTCTAACGACAGCCTAACTTTTGCATAATGCATGGCAGCATAATGCACAACCATAATTTCGATTACGAAGCAGGCGCTGAGGGGAGCATGCGATGAAACCACCCGCCCAAAAAATAAAGAATAAATTAAACGATAAAGAAAGATAAAAGAAGGTTTGCAGTTGCAGCAGATTGAGCTTCATGTCTGCTAGGAAGTTTGTTGGTGGTGAACGCAGGGAGGATCCATCACACTCACCTTCTGACTCACCCTATGATGGGGATGAAGTCTGGAGGAGAACTGATGATGAACCCCCTTTATAGCAAAACGCTGCCAATACGCCATTATACAGTAGCTGGAAGTTAGAAACACATTCAGCACTCGTCTGGAACACGTCAGATATGTTGATATGCGTTGGAGAGAAGTTCTTGATAAGTTATGCATAAGTTACTCATATGTTTTGGATAAGCTAGACGCCTCGACTTATGAGTAACTTACACTTAATGTATGTCAACGATCCGATAACTTACCTGTCTCTTGCCTTATGTCCACGTGTGCCACTGTGTTTCAACGCACCCTTAACTTATCAAACGAATGCCAGCGTTTTTGCCAGATTTTCCGTATGGTGGCTGGCTAAATCGTCAAGGTCAGATAGGGGCTTTAGTTGCTATAAAAAGCTGTTCAAAATTTAAAGTTGAATGGATTCTTGCAAGGCGTTGCTGGTGTTTTTCAAACTAGAAGCTTTAGTGTTGTAATTGTTAGAACTCCTTAAAAATTGACGAATTTTTCAGTTGTTGCTGAAACTCCTGTATCAGCACCCTTATTAGAACGTAAATCTGTGTGTTGTTTACCAACGTTAAAGCCCTTCATTTGTTGTTGTTCATTTGTTTATATTTTTCTGTTTTACAGGCCTCAACTGAGCAGAAGAAGCTGAGCCATGCTGGATCCAAGCCCTCCCTCTCTGAGAGCAGTGGCAGACTCCCTCAGATAGCCATGAACACCTGCAAATACAATGGCGGAGTGGTAAGACCACTAGTGGGCAGCCTGGCGTCCTCGTCGCGCCGAAACCTTGCAGAGCTCGACTCAGAAACGCAACCCTTGCAGACCCTGCACAGCTCCGGGTTGGAGGTGGTAGTGTCCAAGGGAAACGGCGGTGAAAACCCCAGTAAGGCATCCAACGAGAGCCTCGTCAGGGAGGGCAGCGGGCGAAGCAGAGGCCGGGCTCCACAAAAGAAGAACAGGGACATTGGCTACAAACTCGGTCACCGGAGGGCGCTGTTCGAGAAGCGAAAGCGACTCAGTGACTACGCACTCATCTTCGGGATGTTCGGAATTGTTGTCATGGTGACGGAGACAGAACTTTCATGGGGGGTTTACACTAAGGTGGGTTGAGTATGAGTGTGTGAAAAGCATGAGCCAAACTAATGAGTGTGAGGAGTACAGACCTCATCTTTATGAGGAAGCACATTTTCCGATAGAGCTAAAAAACGTATCTTCTTTGCTTTCAATGGAAATGGAATTTAAAAAAATCCTCTAGTGTAGATCCTTATAATTTGGTCCAAGAGGCTAAAACTAAATCACAGCCCAAGATGCACCAAGGCCAAATCGGCCCTCCTCTGTCCCCAAACACATAAACGGCTTTTTAGTTCAGTTTGCAGAGGTCTTCTGGGATCTAGCTGAAACATTTGAAAAGAACTCCTGGTTAATCAAAAAAAGAACTTAAGCAGAAATCAAAATGCAAGAAATTAAAGCAACGTCTGGATGCACAGATCTGAAAACTAAATAAACATAGATTTTTTTTTTTTTTATAATTTTGATGCAGATCTTAATCATCTCTCCCAATGATTAATTCCCAGAAAAATCGAAGTTTTAGTCCATATAAAATGAGTCAGTATTTTGAAGTTCTCTCAAAAAGAATGGATCAAGAATATCTGCCTTTCATCAAAGGTTTTTAAATCCCATTCCTATACCTGTGTAAAAAAAAATAAAAGAAAAAAAACTAATGACGTTTCTGGTCAAAAATAAAATAAAAAAATTATAAGAAAGGACATTTACAATTTGGATGCATAGATAATAATGTGAATTATATCTCTGCTTTATGTTTTTGTTGACTTTTTCAGAACATGTTGGTAGAGATACTTTTGCTCTGCTTTAGGTAGAGTACGTGTTTCACACAGTAAGGAAATCACTGGAACATTCTCTTGCTTCTGTCATGATTTTCTTAAGGGATTTGACCCACATGCAGTAAACCAGTCAGAGAAACAAGGGTAAAAGTTCAACAGGTTTATTGAGGAGATGAACGGGGTTGGATTCAGGAAACTCAGGGTACTGGTGAACCGGAACTGGAAGTGGGAAGGGAAGTATCAGAGGTTAGTTCAGGGTCCGTGAGAACTTTCTTCCCAGAATCCCGTCTTGTGTGAGTTAACCAGAGGGGGGAACTCGTTGGAGGGCAGACAGGTTTTCATTTGGTTGGTTCCTGAGGCACTATGGAGTGGACTGTCACTTGGAATCCAGGAGGTCTTGAACGGAACTTGTGGAGGTTAATCCCCTGCTCAGTGTGAGACTCAAACAATCCTTCCAGGGGAAGAAGGCCAAAAACATCCAGCTTGCAGGATGACTTCTTGCCGAAAGGCAAAGACAAAAACACAGAACTCAGAGAAACAAAGACTCAGTTAGACTCAGCTAATCTCAGCTTGGCTAGAGTACCCAAAACTGGCAAACAGTCTGGCGTCGAAATAGTGACAGTCCACCGCTTAGGTAGTCCACAGTGATGAACCAACCAGCTGCAGGTATGCAGGAGGACCAATGAGAACAGGGCGCCACCTGGTGGTGGAGGAAGAGAAAGACACAAAAAACACAACCCACACAAACTGGATTCCTAAAAGCTTCCACTTCTTGTCAAAATATTAATTACATGAAAAGCTGATATATAAATAGAGAACATTTATGGCAGGCCGTTTTGACATTTATTAGCTTGACTGAAATGTTTATTTTAGAAAGGAAGAATGTTATTTTAGATATCTTAAATGTTTATTTTGACTAGGAAGAAATTAATTTGAGACATCTGAAATATATATTCACTCGAGCTAATAAATGTCAAAAGGCCACTTAGTATTTGTAAATATTTCTAGGTATCTGAAAGTTTATTCTTACTAGTATAATTATATGTTTTAACATTTTGAAAAAAAAATTCTGACAAAAATGTAATTCAGGATATCTATATTTACAGTTCCGACTAGTAGGTATGTAGCTTTGACCAGGAACAATCTTATCTTAGAGATAAACAAATGGAAGAAAAGAGAGAACAGCGCTTCTATTGAATGTCAAAATGGCCTGCCTATAACTTTTGCAAGATGACTCCAACTCTTGCTGGGACATTTTCATAATTACGAATGTAGAACCTCCTCTAAACTGCTCATTGATCATGTCGTTGAATATAGTTCAAACCCTCTTGGGCCTGGTCTTTGTCTATTATTTGTTGTCCATTCCATTTCTTCATTGCATCTAGTCCATACTGTTCTTCACTAGTTGTGGTTCATGTTCTTCATTGGTTCTGGTCTGGGCTGCTCAGTGGAACAGTGGGTGCAGCACTTGCAGCAAGAAGATTCTGGGTTCGATCCAAGCCCGGGATCTTTCTACATTGAATTTGCATGTTCTCTCTGTGCATGCATGGTCTCTCTCCAGGTACTCCGGCTTCCTCCAGTCCAAAAACATGACTTTTAGGTGAATTGGCTTCTCTAATATTTCCTTAGGTGTGAGTGTGTGCGTGAATGGTTGTTTGTCTCTGTTTTGCCCTGCGTTGGACTGGCGACCTGTTCAGGGTGGACTCTTCCTCTAACCCCTTGACAGCTGGAGATAGGCTCCAGCACCCCTTGTGACCCCGCTTTGGGTGACAGAAAATGGATGGTTCTGGTCCATGCTTGTTTTTCCATCTGTCCTGGTCCATGCCTGTTCATTAATGTCCTTGGTCCAGATTTATTCTTGCTTTTCAGTGTTTACTCTTTATTTGTCCTGTTCAATGTATATTCTTAACTGGTCCTGGTCCATTTAAATGTTTTATTAGTTCTGGTTTATATCTGTTCCCAGTTAGTTCTGGTCCACATCTATTCTTTATTGTTCCTGATTCATGTCCATTTTTTATTGATCTTGGTCCACCTCTGTTCTTTTTTTCTCCTGTTTGTTCTCTATTCTTCATTGGTGTCATGAGGCGGTGTTTGTTTGGAGGACCCAAACGCAGAGACCAGTAGGCAGAGGTGAATTAAAGTCTGCTTATTTTGGTTCACAGATCCAGAAGCAGGAATCAGAGTCCAACTGAAAATAACAAACGTACCAGAACCAAGGAGACATCAGGGGTAAATCAAAACTAGAAGCCAGGGAGAGACGAGGAACACAGACAGAAGTTAGACGAGATGTTAGACGAGAATCCAGCAAACAGGAACTGAAGAGGGAGGGCTTTTAAAGGGGACAGAGACAAAGAGAGAACTGACGAGGAAATTGAAAACAGGTGCAGGCAGAACAGAGAAACAGAGCAAGGGAGGACACAAGAGGGCAGCAGAGGACAACAAATGGAAAACCAAGAAAAAACAGGAACAAACAGACCAAGACTCTGACAATTGGTCCTCGTTGATTTTTACTTTTCTGAACAGCAGATGACTTAATTCACAGCTATGTTGAGGGTCAGAGGAGAGGACTACAGTTTGTATTACTTAACACCCAGGTGAAGCAAATTGATCTGCAGTCTGTTGGAGATTACAGTTTTAAATACGGTGCTAAAGACCAAGAACACTAGTTGTACCTATTTGCCTAGGGTGAGACAGCGCCATATTTACGACATACCCTTTTCATCTATCTGCTTTATAAACAAATATATTCCTACCAGGCCTTAAATAGGCCATCTATGCTTGACAAAGTGCCCTAAAAACAACATCAACAGCAAAGTAAACAGGTGGGATCATTTGCCAGGAGAAAACAGGAGACTGTGTTTAATAGGAAGAAGTTTACTGCTTTAATCAGAGTTAAAGAAGAGATTAGAATTATTCTAGAAATCAATTAGGCAGTTGAGTTTGATCTTCTCACAGCTGTAGGATACACAGTTGATGTTTTTGTATGTTTGTGAGTTTAATCTCAACATACTTGCACTCTACTTGTACAGAATAGGAAGAGAACCAACATAATAAAGATTGCTAATATTGTTAAGTTTCTCAGTATTAGGTTTTGCCTTAAACAAAACAAAGGATGTGCAGGAATGTGGTACAAAACGTCAAAAGTTTCTTATTTTCAGCATTGCCATATGAATTGTTTCGCCACATTTAGATTGTTTGGGGGGTGGCGGCCTAATTTGCGGTCTAGTGGTCAGCGCATAGAGCTTGGAATCCAGAGTTTCCAAGTTCAAGCCCCATTTGCACAGACTGCAACTCTGGGTCTCTGAGTAAAGACCCTTAACCCCACACTACTCACCTGGTGCCCCACAATGTCAGCCCACTGCTCCCCCGTTGCCCCACAATGTCAGCCCACTGCTCCCCCGTTGCCCCACAATGGCAGCCCACTGCTCCCCAAGGGGATGGGTTAAATGCAGAAAGCGAATGTCGTTACTCCGTACATGTGAGAGTGTAATTATCATTAAAAAAAAGCTAAAAAAAAAAAAGATTCATTACCTCATCGTTTTCACACGGTTGTAATCAGGAAACTTCCAACCGTAATTACGCGTAGTTTAAACAATCTTAAAAAGTACCGCATACGTTCAACTTTAACTTTCCACTTTTCATTTTACAGCATTTTCAGAAAAGGACCTGATTGCTGCTTAACACTCCTGTGTCAGTTATACAAGATAGAATCAATGTTTTCTAATTAGAATATCCACCGATTAGATTTTAAGGACAAGTTGGACTCCTGATGCATATTAAAACAGGAAGCCATTTGTGTTAAGAAAGAAAAAACAACCTTAAACAGAGGGGGGGGGACTCAGATTTCAGCCCTGCGGATTGTTTTTTTTTTTCTACTTTTTTGGAATGAGTATGACCTGGATGACTGAGAATCTTCTCCAGCAGGTTCCTTACTGGTTCAATCCATTAAGACGAGCAAGATTATTTTATGATTTTATGAAAGGAAGCTAGCCAAAAGTAACATTTTGAAAGGAAGGATTTTAAACTCTAAGAAATTAATTGCATAAATAATTTATAGACTGTAAGGCAAGGCAAGGCAAGGCAAATTTATTTGCATAGCACAATTCAGTACAAAGACAATGCAAAGTGCTTTACATGATTAAAATACAGGAAGATAAAACAGAATCAAAGCAAGAAGGAAAAAAATAATAAAATACAATAAAAATGCAGAAACAAAAAAGACAGTTGGACTAAAGAAAATATGTTTTAGTTGAACTGTTT